GATCGCAGCCCCCCAGGCACGGCGAGGTCCCGCTCAGATCCCCGCGGTGCCTCACTCCGCAGGACCCGCCAGCAGCCCTCGAAAGTGGCGAAAGTTTCGCAGATCGCGGCCCCCCAGGCACGGCGAGGTCCCGCTCAGATCCCGCGGTGCCTCACTCCGCTGGACCCACCAGCAGCCCTCGAAAGTGGCGAAGTTTCGCAGATCGCAGCCCCCCAGGCACGGCGAGGTCCCGCTCAGATCTGCGCGGTGCTCACTCCGCAGGACCCACCAGCAGCCCTCGAAAGTGGCGACAGTTTCGCAGATGGCAGCCCCCCCAGGTACAGCGAGGTCCCGCTCAGATCCCCGCGGTGCCTCACTCCGGGACCCCCGCCAGCAGCCCTCGAAAGTGGCGACAGTTTCGCAGATCGCAGCCCCCCAGGCACGGCGAGGTCCCGCTCAGATCTGCGCGGTGCCTCACTCCGCGGGACCCACCAGCAGCCCTCGAAAGTGGCGACAAGTTTCGCAGATCGCAGCCCCCCAGGCACGGCGAGGTCCCGCTCAGATCTGCGCGGTGCCTCACTCAGCTGGACCCACCAGCAGCCCTCGAAAGTGGCGACCAGTTTCGCAGATCGCAGCCCCCCAGGCACGGCGAGGTCCCGCTCAGATCTGCGCGGTGCCTCACTCCGCTGGACCCACCAGCAGCCCTCGAAAGTGGCGACAGTTTCGCAGATCGCAGCCCCCCAGGCACGGCGAGGTCCCACTCAGATCGCCGCGGTGCCTCACTCCGCAGGACCCACCAGCAGCCCTCGAAAGTGGCGACAGTTTCGCAGATCGCAGCCCCCACCGTCGGCGAAGAGAGGACCGGAGGAGGCGGGAGGCGGGAGGAGGAGGACGCGACTACACCCCTCTATTCAAAACGAATACGTACCCAACCAAGGAGGGTTGGGACAAAAATGAACTTGCTGGCCACGACCAGGGGGAAAGGGAGGTGCAGGAGGAGGAGGAGGAGGAGGAGGAAGAGGAGGAGGAGGAAGATGAGGAGGACGAGGAGGAGAAGAAGGAAGAGGAGGGGAGAAGGGGTGGGGGGGTGATGATGAGGTGGAGAAGGAGGAGGAGGAATAGACGGAGGAAGAGGAGGAAAGGGCAGAGCAGAGGGCGAGAGGAGGGTGTCCGCCACGGCGGGGAGGAAAGGGCTAACAGCAAGCTGAACAGATTCTCACGTAGGGTCCTACCATCGGAATAATTCTCAAATGGACCTATGTGGAGCAATAAATGCAGAGCAGCTTACGTGGTGCAATTCACCCTGCCAAACTTGAAGTCGACAATTCCGCTGCTCGCGCAAGTGTCCCTCCTACCCACCCGCAGCCTGGTTTGCAAAACCAATGCGGCGGCCATTGCGATGTCTGCTTGGCGTTGGCTGGAGCCTCGCTGCGGTTGCGCTAGCGCGCGCAGGCTCGCGCGCAGAGCGGCCAGCTAGTCTGGCGCGACCGACACGGCCGCGGTGGCGCTGACCGCTGGGGACTTCCCAACGCCTCGCAGGCCGCGCTGACGCACGGTCGTTTCAGACCGAATCGTTGGCTCGGGCGGGCGCGGTATCATGACGACGTCGATAACGGCTGACACGATGATGATTGTATCGGTGCTGGTGGCGACGATGACGACGACGACGGCAAGGCCAGTGACGGCGCCGATGCTGATCACGCCGATGACAATGATGGTATTTACGCGTCCCGCATGGTATTATTTGACAGAGATCCTTCCCACCCAGCACGCGCGCAAGGGCGTTCGAACGTTTTCGACACTCGTGTACGAAAGGCCCACTTGGTCGCAATAGATGAATGGAGAAACATCTGGTTTCCTCAAGAGTTCACAACAAGCGCGCGCAAACCGTTTTTGGAAAGCCACCTTGCTGTTTCTTGTTGTTCAAATATGTCTTCGGGCCACATGATTTTGAAATCCTCGCGACACCGAAGATGTTTGAACAAATTCGGCACGCGCGCGGGACAACGCGCGCGTGTGCACTCCGTCTCGTTGTTCACAGAGGGATTGTTGCAAATGGATGGTGATAAAAGTGCGCGCGCATGATATTTTTACGACAGGGATGACGGGGCCAGTCGATTCCGGTTTGGCTGGCGTGGTATGGATTCACATTTCGAACGAATGATGGGGCAGAACCGTATGTAAACTGCACATCGCCAGGGTGAGCAGATAATCCCGCCCTCGAGGGAGGGTAGATTCAAATTCTCTTCAAAACAGAGAAACTATGTGGCGGCGACGAGGTGGCGACGGGACGAGACGGCGACGGCGGCCACATAGCTGCCAAACCGCCATGCAGGCCCAGACGACGGCCGACGTCGAGGCAGCGACGGGGCGGCGACGGCGGCCACATAGCCGCCAGACCGCCTGTCGAAGCCAGTTCCCTAGAAGAGAAATAAGGACCCCTCAGCGCAAGCACTATGTGGGTAATAACCAACTCAGCACCCAGGCTCCGAGAGGACCTCGAATTTCTCTTCCAGGGAGTGGGTGTTCTCGAAGTTGTCCAAGTTGGCTGCAGTTTTGCCCGAGATAGCTCAATGTTGCATCCAAGCCTGCCCATGCTGGCCGCCACGACAGCCCCCGTTGGTCCGAAGATAGCTCCACAATGGCCCCACAGCCCTCCAGTGACGACCAATGGAGGCTAGCATCAGTGAAAACAAAAACATGTGTTTCATGTTTTTGCGCTCTCGCCGCTGCCACTTCAGATGGGCCTCGATAGCGTCGAAAAGGCCGAAAGGTAAGGTGGCCCAAGAAAGCCCCAAGCCATCCCGCCATAGCCCAATTGGCCCAAAGAGGGCCCCGGCTGACTTCCGAGAATGCCCCGAGCATGTGGTCCAGATGAGGGCTACCTTCTCGTCCTCCCTTTCCCTCTCTCTCTCTCTCTCTGTCTGGCTCCCTTTTTCTCTCTCTCTCTCTCTCTCTCTTTCTGTGCCCGCCGATTCCCCTCCTCCTGCCCCTCGTCCTCTCTCTTCCTCCCCTCATCCCGAGGAGGAGGGGGGAAGAGAAGGGGCACGAGACGTGAGGAGGAGATGGGGGAGCAGCCAGGAGGGAGCGGACGTGAGGAGGAGCGCGGCGGACGAAGACGGGGCGGGAACGGAGGCCTGGCGGGAGGAGCGAGAGAGCACAGAGGGGCGAGAGGCGACGGGTGGAGGACGGGGGAAGGCCGATGGAGAGGGAGGGGGCACGGAGCAGCCGCCGAGGGAACGGGGGGAGGGAGGCGCAGAGATGGGGGGAGCGAAAAGTGCGCAAACGCAGGGGAACAAGAAGTGTTTTGGCTCAACCCACGAGAGGCGACCAGCGCTAACCCCCCGTGACTCTTTGGCAGAAGGTCCGTGGGTTGACGGGTGCAGAAAAACAGCATCCATCTTGTCTTGATTCGGTGTGGGCCCCACTTTTCTAGGGCTCCCAACTTCGCGCTTCGCGCTGCGCGAAGCGCGAAGCGCGAATAACTTCGCGCTCTCGCGCCGCCCTCCCAAAGGGAGAATAGGAGGACGAGGAGGAGGGGGAGGAGGAACGAGGACCGCGAAGCGCGAAGCGCGAATAACTTCGCGCCCTCGAGGGAGCCCTTACAAAAGTAGGGGAACAAGAAGTGGCATAAACAGAAATTCTCCGAGGTCCGCGCGGATTTCTCGGATCCGCGCGGGGCCCCCCTGGCGGCGCCTCCGGCGCCGCCCCTGGCGCGCTCCGCTCGCCAGGGAGGGGGGTCCGGCGCCGATCCGAGAAATCCGCGCGGACCTCCGAGTTTTTATGCTTATGTCACTTTTTGCTCCTCTAAAAGGGGGGGAAGGGAGGGAGGACGGGGGAGAGGAGGAGAGGGGGAGAGCGAGGGAGGGAGGGAGGTCGGCGGAGGGGGGGGAAGGGGCACGGGAATGGGAAACTGGCGATGGATGAACGGTGGCATACATGCGACACCATCCCCCCACCCTTGGCTGTGCAACAGCAACTAGTACACGGCCGACCCTGCCAAACCACTTGCTATTTAGCTCCTGTCATCCTTGCCCTTCCTCCTCCTGTTTCCTCCGCGTCCTACTCGGCCGTTTCCTCCCACTGACCCTCATCGTACTCTCCCTCCCGTGCACCTCGTGTTCCCCGCCCTCCACGTGTCTCTCGTCCTCCGAGTCTTCGTCGTCGTCCTCCTCCTCCGCCTCCGCCCCGCCCTTCATTCACCACTTCCCCCCTTCCCCGTCGTCGTCCACCTCGGCCTCTCCTTTCGTCTACATCCTCTCCCTTCCCCATTTACCCTCTACATCCCCTCCCCTACTACCTCCAAAACTTCACCCCCCGCCAGCTCCTCCGATCCGACTTCCTGCTTCTCTTCGCCCCCATTATCATCCACATCCCTCCCTCCCCCTCTCGTCCCCATTGCCCTCTACTCGGAACCTCCTTCTCATCCTCCTATTCCTCTTCCTCACTCCGCCGCGTCCTCCGTCCACCCCTTCCTTACCCTCCAGGCTTCCTGCCCATCCCCCTCCACCACCTCCCTTCAGTGCCCGCCCCAACCCAACACACCTCGCCGCAACCTCATCCGCCTCTTCCACGCCTCCCCCGCCCCTCCTCCTCCTCCTCCTCCTCCTCCTCCTCCACCTCCTCCTCCTCCTCATCTTCCTCTTCTCTGAAGCCTCCACTCCCAAGAACATACCAGAACCTCCAATCGCAAGATGGGCTCCTCTCTCGAACCAGGAGAGCCCAGAATCGAATCGACAAGTCGGATCGGCGATCGAAATGAATCGGATCGGCGGAAATCGGCAGCCATGTCGGGAGAAATCGAATCGGTAGAAATCGGCAGGCTCGTAGGCCTCCATTGAGGAATCGGAACCCAAGTCGGAATCTCAAGTCGAATCGAATTGGAATCAGAAGCCATCGAAATCGAATCGAATCGAATCGGAGGAATCGAAACGAGCCCTGCGATCCCACTCAGCCGGACCGCTCTCACCACCCTCGTCGCGCCGCCCCCGCGGCGGGGGGGAGAGTTTCGCGGAGCAGTCCTGGAGGTCCTTGCTCTTCGGGTGCGGCGCTCTGGAACCTCGGAGCAGCCAGAACAGAACGGCCGCGGCGGTTGAAGGGGGCGGGGTGGAAGGATGGAGGAGGCAGGCGGGTGCAGGGACGCTGGGGGAGAGGGCAGATGCTATACGAGAAGTAGGTTCGCGTACAAGCGGGCCGCAAAACTCAACTACGCGTACGTTGTAGCCCCGCCCCGCGGAGGAGGAAGGAAAGCAGGCGAAGGAGGACGGTGAGGAGGGAGAGGCTCCCATATGCTGCTCCTCCTGCTCGTCCGGTTCCCCCTCCTCGTCATCAGATGTACCCTCGCAGGTTCCTCCCTCCTCCGCACCCCCTCCCAGCCCCCCTCGAAATCCAACCAAGAACGCAGGAAGCAGTTCGCAGGCATCAGAGAATACCTGTCAGTTACCAACATGCATCTGAAGACCTTGACAAGCATTAAACAAATCCGACGACCCCCTGGGGTTCATCGGCGCGTGAGATGTTCCCTCCTCCCCAAACCCCTCCCCTGGGAGCCCGGTCCGGTCGATTTGGAGGGGAGGTGTCCCCGGGGACCGCTCGAACGCACCACGGGGGGACAGAGGGCCCCAAAACAGGCCAAGAAGGCACCAAAAGGCCATCTGGACGGTCCAAGAGGGTCACTGGCCGCCGGAAGATCGATCGAAAACGCACACGCTGACCTCCAGATGGCCCAGGAGTTCCCCAAGACGCCCCAAGAAGCTATCAAAAGGCGTGACAGGACGGCCGTAAAGAACAAACATCGCCCCATTTCCAACTGGAGACCTGCGTGTCTGGCACATGGCACATTCGCCTCTTCTGAGAATGTGCCAGAAATGCAGGTTCCAGGACATGAGCAAGGCGCCCTCCTGGATCGCCATGTTCTTTCCCAAAGCATGAAAGGCGCAAGTAAAATAGATGAAGCAAACGAGACACGAATTAGTACAAACTCGGTAGGCGGTCGCCTTTCTAAAGCCAACTTCGGCCCAAAGACTGGGCATGGACAAAGAGGACACGGTCACGGGTTTCTGCTCGCAGCCGTTCCTCCAGTGGCGACTTTCTGCAGCTGCCACCAACAAGCTGAAGTCCACACCCACTCCTAGCAAAATGCTTGAAGAGGTGTAGACGACTAGAATACACATGCTGGCAGACCGGGTAAGTGGACGCATCCCCCACGTACTTCTTAAATGCCTTGCGCTTCTTGTGTTCTGACGTCTGGTGCGATGCGAGCGCACAATACGTTGCAAATGAAACTTGGCACACCTCGCGCTCGAAAGGTTGGAGCGGCGCGGCGCCACACTTCGAAGGGAAATCGGCTATAGAGCCGACGAAAAAAAGATTCGCGAGACACGATCATCCCGCTCAGCACAAGCTCTTTGCTCGCACCGAGGCTCGGTGCAGACAGCTGGATCAGGTAGGTCCCAGAAAGCGGGCACCCGCGGATGCTCCCTAAGCCAAACGAGATCGCGGATGAAAAAAACGACCCACGGCAAGGGCTTGACTTGGTCACGCCCCTCCCAGGCACTCGACTTGGCCTGGGGTCTGTCGCCCAGAACGGCGAGGAGAGCGGCAGGCCTGTTTCTGACAAGCCAGGCGCCGCACCTGAGCCTAGCGGGCCGCAAAATGCAGTCGATCGACGGCTGCTGCTTGCCACGTCGGACATCTAGGTCAGAAAACTCGGGTTTCCTATATCGACTGTCGTCGCACATTTTCCTCAGCACCCGCAGGTAGGGGCTGTGGAGCGTGCGTATATACCCTCTGGTCGGCACTACAATGTGAGCTGAGTGCAGGAGGCGGCTAAGAACCAACGACTGCAACAATGAGAACTTCAGCCACTCGCACACGACAGAGCTCCCAAAGACTCGGTACGCATGAAAGGCCTGCTGGGCCTTCAAGCCGGGGTTGTACTTCGAGTGCGTAATTCATCGAATGCGTTTTCTTCTCAAAGGAAGCTCGGAGGAGGATGCGGGGCAAGCAGGCGCCTCCAGGGCAGCGTCCCCAGACAGTAACTGACGTTGCGTTTTTTGACGACTGCATTGTCACCATGGCTCCTACTGCTACGCGACTGCGTAGTGCGATGGACAATTGCAGTTGCGCACAATATTTTCCGGTTTCGGAATCAATATTGATTGGAAACCCGGAGAGACGGAAAGAATGGTGCACTTTACGGGGCGCGGGGCGGGGCCATTGCTTCGCGCTCCCACCCCGACGGCCGTTACCTCCCCGCCCCTTCCACGAACGGCCTCCCGGCCTAGAAATCATCTTTACTTGATCAGTACACTCGGGGATGGACAGAACCCCCTTTAGCAAAACGTGGTTTAGTGAAAACGACCTCGGGCCCAAATCTGGCGGGCGAAAGCCTGGAAACTGACGGCCACGGCGCCCTCTCGAGAACCGAAAACGGACAATTCACTAATCGACGTGTCACTATTGGGGGTTCTGTCCAGCCCCGATACACGGACTTGGGCGGAATCGTCCAGATCGATCGGGGCCTAGGGGCCGACGCGATCAAGCCACTGGTGAACAAACAATAAAGGCAGATCATGCGTAGCGTAAAAAATCGTTGCCCCTACCTTGCAGCCCTGTAGGGCGACGAAATCTATGCATATCCACTGCTCCCTGGCCAGGCCCATCCTCAACCCCGCAGCGGTGTATACGCCACGCCCTCCTGGCTTGGCCAGGAGGGCGCATACACAGCTCCTGGGTTCAAGATGGGCATGGTCAGGGAGCAGTGGATATGCATAGATTTCGTCGCCCGACCCTGTAGGCCGCCAAGCCCGCATTGCACAATGGACCCGAGCTCTCCAATCGAGAACCAGGAGCCGTCATGGAGAGTTGACAGCGTGGCGACCGTGGCATCGTCAACGCCCCACTGCTGAAGGATAGGTCCATGCTTCTCGATGTACTCGTATATGTGGCCGGCAGCATCCTCAGGGATGTCCATGGCGCGTGCCCGGCGATCAGCACGGACACGGCGAGGCCATCCCAAAACCAGCTCACGACATATCTTGTCGAAACCCTTCGACAAACCGGCGAACAACATGTAAATCCAGTACTTCATGGCATGAGCACGGTCGATCAATGAACGGATAACGAGGGTAGCCATGTCCGCGCCACGGCGCGGCACAGAACCGTACTGGTGGTGTGAAATACCAGCATTATAGTGCTCGTCAACCCTGTCCTTGATCTGACCGACGAAGGAGTTGGACATGTGGCCGGCGAGGGCTAGACCACGGTTCTCGTCGCGATCGCCCCGTGGACCCTTACATTCATGGATCGGGACGCAGCGGCCACCCTGCCACTGCCAGGGCCATTCGCCTCTCTCACCGATCCGATTCTGCAGTGTCTCCTGGGCGATGGCCAACGGGCCCTCGCTGGCCGTCAGGAGCTCGGCGGGGATGCTGCCGGGACCGACCCCTTTGAAAGAGGGGAGGGCCAGATTTGCGGCGAGCGTGGGGCTCGGTGTTGCGCGGAATCCGACGGGCGCCGACAGCAGGCACTCGCGGGGAGCTGGGTCAGGACACACCTTTCCGCCCCTGACCGCAGCGAAATGTTCCTGCCATCTGGTGTCGCACTCTGCTCCCGAAGACGCCATCTCGCCATTTCGCCATTGGAGAGCCTCACGCTGTTAGCCGCCACCTTCTTCATGTCTTGGAAGCGTCGCACGACGGGAGTGGCTTCACGTGACATGTCCTCGCGGCCCGGTTGGCCTCCTGAGCGAGCCTCCACATGAAGCCCTCGCGATCTCGCTGAAGGTTCCCGGCGACGCAGGCTCGGAGTCAGGCGATGGTGGCTGCGATAGTCGAGCGTAGCTTCTCCAATTTGGCGACCTGTTGAATAGAGGCCTCCTGCTCGGCGTTGCTCCTGAATGGACGCCTCCTGGATCGCCCCAAGACGGCCCACGAGGCCCTCAAGAGGGCTCTCAGACGACCCAACGAGGGCCCCAAGACCGCTCAAAGAAAAGCCAAGAGGGCACCGAGAGGCCCTCTGGACGGTCCACAAGGCCCACGAGCCGCCGAAAGATCGATCGAAAACGCCCACGCTGGCCTCCAGATGGCCGGAAAGACCCTGAAGACGCCCCAAGGAGCCCCCAAGAGGCGCCCCAAAACGGCCTCAAAAAAGCAAAACCCTGCCCAGGTCTATAGGACAACCGTCATTTTTTGCGCATTCGCCTCGTCTGCAATCACAATGTCCAATACAGCCCAAGAAACCTCCTGGGTCGCCCCAAGACGGCCCAAGAGACCCCCAAGAGGGCTCTCAGACGACCCAAAGAGGGCCCCAAGACCGCTCAAAAAAAGGCCAAGAGGGCACCGAGAGGCCCTCTGGACGGTCGGTCCACGTGGGCCACGAGCCGCCGAAAGATCGATCGAAAACGCCCGCGCTGGCCTCCTGACGGCCCGAAAGACCCCAAAGACGCCCCAAGAAGCCCTCAAGAGGCGTCCAGAGACGGCCGTAAAGAGCAAACAGCGCCCCATTCCCAGTGAGGAAGCAGGAAGCAGCATTTTCTACACATTCGCCTCTTCTGCAATCGCAGCGTTCAAGGCAGCCCAAGAAGCCTCCTGGACCGCCCAGAGGCGGCCCAAGAGGCACCCAAGAGGGCTCCCGGACGGCCCAAGGAGGCCCCGAGGCCGCTGAAGGAGCCCGCGGGACGGCACGAGGGGGTTCCAGGACAGCCCCCAGAGGGGGCCCAGGAGGGGAGCCCGAACGAACATATCGAGGCTTCGACCCCCAAAACCGCCCCCCGGCTGCCCCAAGAGGCCCCCAACACGCTCCCAGGGAGCTCCGCAAGGCCCGAGCCAAAAACTACCAAGAGGCCTCGCGCCGAGCAGATCGCCCCCCTCGGGATAGCGACCCCGCGCATTCGATCACACCTGCTCAAGCAGAAGCATGAGAAAACAACAGAGCTGATCACTGCAATGCAGACATATAGTTCCATACCGACTGCTGTTATATTGATTACACGTGCTCTATGGTTTTGACTTAATATATATGCTTACAGAATACGTATACGCTCAACAACACGCACCATTGTTCGGTTTACGAGGAAAATCTGTTATTTTTCTTCGATTCGAGATTGACTCAATATGGCTGGCGCTGTCTAAGGCCCCGCAATTACAAGTCGCCGCACGGACTTGGGACCCTGGAAGCCTCCGTCGCCCGAGACATCCACGGAGAACGCCACGAGTCCCAAAACCGCGCGGTGACCTCGAACCCAACGGACTCACCACACGGTGTGGTCACCACATCGTTCTGGGGGGCGGCCAAAAGAGGGGGGTCCAAGAGGGAGGGGCGCAAATCATGGCCGGCGGCACGTGCGAGGCCCAGGGGGGGCCGGGGACGTATTGAAACAAGAAGGAGCGCCATGAAACCTGGGAAGCTATCATGGGCCCGCCATGATTCGGCGGCGAGCGAGGAGGGGAAATGAGAAGGGGAAAAGGCCTTCTCAGAAGGCGGCGGGATTTCTCAGAAGCCCTCGCGCCTTCTGAGAAGTTTGTCCTGCCTTCGGGGAAGGCTTAGAAAACCTTTCAGAAGGCCGGGGGACTTCCGAACCTTCTGTGAGGGCCCCCTCCTTCTCACTTCCCCCCCCCCGCTCTCAGCCGAATGGTATCCACCCCCCCCTAGTCATCACCCCCTCTTGGCCACCCCCGAAAATCGCTCTGGGCCCCCTCGAAAAAAAAAAACCTGGCGCCCCCAGGGCGGGAGAGAGGACCTGCTTCGGCGCGCCCGCGGGCGTTCTGCAGCCGCGCGCGCAGGCGCTCCGCCGCGCCGCGCTCCTGGAGCCGGAAGCGCCACAGCCACTGCTCCTCCGCTGGGCCAAGAGGGTACAGTGGAGGCCAGCCCACAAGAAACCGTCCACGAGAAACCCAACCCTGAGACACCAGGACGTCCATTGGTGTTCGGTGTGGGGGCGTCGCGCTCTCCATCGCCAAGCCATCGAAACCCAAGAAACCCAGAGCACCCTGGAGGCAAGCAGGTTGCTTCTTGGCATGGGTCTCCACTGTACGAGGCTCGGTAGCCACCGCCTGGGGTAGAGGATCCCACAGAAAAATGCAGAACCGTACACTTTTTGTTGGTCGGCGGGGCGAGAGCGAACCTCTTCCGCTAAAAGCTAGGCGGGCTACGCACAGCTCTCATTGGGGAGACGGGGCGCAGGCAGGCGGGGCCTCAGGCGGCCGGAGTGGGCGGGGCCCAGGGTGCAGGCGGTGCCGAAAAATGCAGAACCATACACATGGACATAAATGCTCGGGGATCCGTGCGGATAGCTCGGGTCGGCGCCCGACCACCCCCCATGGTGCGGAGCACGCCAGGGGGCGGCGCCGGAGAAGCTCCGCCACGGCTGCCCGGCGCCGATCCAAGAGATCCGCGCGGACCTCCAGAGTTCATGATTGTGCAGCTTCTGTCCATCTTCGGTGAGGGATCGATCTGTGGGGGCCTCGGCTGGCGGCTGATGACGACCGATTCGGGTCCCCTGGGGCCAAATCATACCCACATCCACGGCCCCCTGGGGTCCCAGAGCACCGTTTCTCCAGGCGGTGGATACGGATAAATCTCGGGGATGGACAGACCCCCCTTTAGTAAAACGTGGTTCAGTGAAAACGACCCGAGGCCCAAACCTGGCGGGCGCGAGCCTGGAAAATAACGGCCACGGCGCCCTCTCGAGCCGAAAACGGACAATTCACCAATCGACGTGTCACTGTTGGGGGTTCTGTCCACCCCCGAAAGTCCCCGCCTCGCACTCCCCGCCTCCCACACAGAGGCAGGATCGGCCAAGCTCGAAGCGCGAAAAGTCGGGTCGGATCGGGACGAGCATCGAATCGGCTGCGCCTGGATGCTCCAGATTTCGTAATAAAAGGGAGGGGGTCTCAACCCTCCCAGACGATAAGTTTTTTAGACACTCCCGTGGAGAAATTTTTTAGACCCCCCCCTGTGGGAGAACCCTCCACGACATCGTCCCCAGACCCCCCCCAGGCCCTCCAAGATAGCCTGGAAGAGACCCCCCCCGAAATGAGACCCCCCTCCCTTTATTACGAAATCTGGAGTACGCAAGTACGCCGCGCCAGTATTGGGCCGCATGGCATCGCCCAGATCGGGCCGGGTGCGCTCGGCATCGAATCGGATCGATCGAGCAAATCGAAACAGCCCATGGGAAGCAAGCGAGCGGTGCAGCCCGCAACGGCGGGAAGCGGCACGACACCATGGGCGAGGTTGCGCTGTGGATCTGACCGCGTTCTAGGGAGGCCTCTCTGTTGGCAGCCTGTGCCCCGCATCAGAGACGGACTGTAGCCAAGACCACGCCGTCAACTGCCCACACCGTTGCCCTGGCCTCGGCAGGAGCAGAGAGTCTCTCTGGCATCACCACTTGGCGGCATGCACGAGGGCTCGAGGAGGATGGCCTTCTAAGAGGGCGGGTTTCCTCTTCTCAGAAATTTTGGACTGGCGCTGGACCCCCTTCCCTGGCACACGGAGCGCTTCGAGGGAGGCGCCAGATGCGCCTGGCGCCAGGGGGGTCCAACGTCGACCCGAGAAGCCCGCGCGGACCTCTCAGAGTATTATCGAAGGGGCCCAGGGACACACACAAAAATATACGCAAAGCCCCGGACTCCCCACATTTCCCCACATGCTCTGGGCCTTCGCCTCCCCCACCACGTCGCAGATTTTCCCATATCTTCCTGGGAATCGATGACTGATTGTGTCTGCGTGTTTCTTCCCCTCCTGAGTTGTGCTCACGCAGCCGTTCCTCCTCCGGCCCTCGCGGCCCCCCCCCGGGCGGCTCCGTCAGCCCGGTGTCGACGGCCATCGCGAAGTCGACGCGCTTGATCCTGTAGTACTCGCTCGGAGTCTCCGCCGTGAGCCTGCGTGGGGGGTCCCCCCTCGAGGGGGAAGGGGGGGGGGGGCTTGCCCAGGGGGGCGGGGACATCGACCTGGGAACGGCGACGCATCGCCGACGGCTCGACGGCGGGCCTCCGGCCGCGAAACCGCGCGCTCCTGGGCGGGGTGGCAGACTGGGGGCCGATGCGTTCCCCCGCTGGTCGGGGGACAGGTCGCGTCACGAACACAAACGTTAGAAGGCCCGCGCGGATTTCTCCGATCGGCGCTGAGCCCCCTGGCGGCGCCTGCGGCGCCGCCCCTGGCGCGCTCCGCACGCCAGGGAGGGGAGTCCAGCGCCGATCCCAAAGTCAGGGCGGATCTCTGAAAGCCTATGTTTACGTAGCACTCCGCAGATTCGGATCAGAGTCATGGGGGCGGCGGGTTCGTCGGCAGTCTGCGAGGCTTTGGAGAAGCCCGCCGCAGGCGCCGAATTTTCGTAAAAGCAATGTGGGCAGGTCGCGGGTTGGTCGCGGGGTGGGGCTTGAGGTGGGTCGCGGGGTGGGTCGCGGGCGGGTCGCGGGCGAGGATGACGACAACAACATTAATTTTAAGACTGTTCGCTCTTATCTGCCCACGAGCCACTCAATACGTATATCCCAGAGCCTCGATACCCGCCTTCTTCGTCTTCGATCGTACCCCCTTGGGGGTATATCTTCCTCACCTGCCACATGAATTTGGCGCAGCCCCTGAAACACGGGAAGAGAGGACGGATGGAAGGAAGGGACCAGAGGAGGGAGAAGGATGGAGCACGAGGAAGATTAGCAGGAGGGGCGGTAGGAGCAGAAAAAACGTGGCATTACCAAACGGGCAAATCGGGCGGGTAGACCCTGACGGGCGGGTCAGGAAGGCGGGCCCAGGGGGCCAGGTCGAGGAGGCAGGTTGCAGAAGCGTGAGTCCTGAGTGCATCGCGAGGAAGTCTTTAACAATAGCGCTGTCCCCGAGTAAATCGTGAGCAAGGCCAAAGCGAGAGCGTAGTTCCTGAGTGTCGAGGGCGCGGCGTCTGAATAAATTGCGAGGAACTACCACGCGGAGGCGCGACTCCTGGATAATTTGTGAGAAAGTCCATTGCGAGATCGCGATTTTGAATACACTGTGGGGAAATATCCGGCGGGAACCGTTGTTGTGGTAGTTCGGGGTCCAGCAAGCCAAGCTGAGGCGCATGACTTTCCCTTGTGAAAAACACGGTGCGAGCCTGGTGAGGAACATGTCAATTGAAAATCACAGTGGGCACCAGAGGGATACAATAATCGTTCTTTAAACATGAAAACTCCATCAGTTCAAAACAGTCAATGCGCTCGCGTGTCACTCAACATGCAGACCCCAAACTCTCGATACTCGCCCTCTTCGCTTTTGATCGTAACCCCGTTGAGGGTCCATCTTCCTTCCCTGCCACGTGTAGTTGACGGGGCTGGGACAAGGGGGGAGAAGGACGGAGCACGACAGAGATGAGTACGGCAGGTTCGTGTCGTGCCGACCCCAGCGTTGGTTTTTGACACCGCAGGGATCGTTCAACCTTGAACGATCGGCCGCTGCCGCAACGTCCAATCGTTCAACATCGATCGATTCTGGGTCGCCGGCGGCGTTCAACCTTGAACGCCCGCGCTGGGGTCGCCGCTGGTCGACACGACGCAAACCTACCGTATGCAGGATGGGGTCAGGAGCAGGAGCACAAGCTGCAGAACCACACGGGCGGGTCGGGCGGGCGGACCCTAACGGGCGGGTCGGGCGGGCGGGCCCCGACGGCGCGGTCGACCGGGCGGGTCACTGAAGCGTCAATCCAACGTGAGTCGCAAGGGAGTCTCATTCCTGCGTGTTGGGGGCGCGGCGTTTCAATCCATAGCGATGAAGACACTGCGCGAGAACACGATTCCTGGGTAAAGTGAGGAAGTCCTGCGCGAGAAGCGCTATCTTGATTACATCGTGAAGAAGTATCAAGCGGAAATCGCTGCTGCGGTAAACTAGGAGCCAGCAACACAATATAAGGCGCAAGACCTCCCCTCATAAAAAAACAGGGTGCAAGCCCAGAGAGGAGCATTCGAATTGAAAAACGCCATGGGCACTGGGCACGGGGGATCAACAATAATAATCATGTAAAGATAGAAGTTCAAAAACAACGACAACAATCATGTGACCCGAATGCTCGATTATTCGATGTAGACCATATATAGAATATGATAGCTTCCCCAAAACTGCTTCTTGCACAGAGGAAGTCCGATATTCCCTTACCCAGATCTCCCGCCCGAGGATGTCTTGACAACACCTCCCTGGAGGCACTTCAAGATCCCCAGCCCGGATGGCACATCGCCTTCGCAGTCGCCCAGCCCAGGACACGCCTTGCTTCCGGGCATCACCATGCCCGAGTGGCCTCCAAGCTCTGGGAGAGGCCGCACAATACGTGGGGGAGCCCTCGGAGCCCCCATTTGGACAGCCTCTGGCTCTCCCCGAGCCTCTCAGAGGAGCTTCAGCGCCCCTTGCACCCGAGGGAGGAGGGGAGGAGGGGAGGAGAGGAGGAGGGGAGGAGGGCCGCTGGGAGACGCTCCAAAGCTGAGCTGGAGGGCTTCCGGGCCTCCTGAGGGAGGCCTCGGGGCATCTGGGGGCAAAGGCCTGGCTCGGAGCTTCCGGGCCCCGGGAAGAGGGGGGTGAAGAGGAGGGAGCCAGAGGAGGAAGGAGGAGGGAAGACGAGGGGGGAGGAGGAGGAGGAGGAGGAGGAGGAGGAGGAGGAGGAGGAGGAGGAGGGGAGGTGGAGGAGGAGGAGGAGGAGGGCAGGAGGAGGGGAGGGAGGAGGAGGAGGAGGAGGAGGAGGAGGAGGAGGAGGAGGAGGAGGAGGAGGGCGCTTAATCACCACTGGGTCTGAACAGGGAGGGCGGCTGCGCGAGGGCGACGAGGCGAGAACGCCGAGGCGAGAACGCCAGGGCGCCTTAAAGGTGTCCAATAATCCGCCACCGTGCCTCTGGGCACGGAGTGGGCGTATCCTCGGGTCCTTTGCCCAATCCCCTGAGCCTCAGTCCTCACTCCTGAAGAGCCTCTTAGGGACCCGGGGCCAAACCTGACGCAAAATCAATGATTTGGACCCGTCGGGGCTCTCTTGGGAGGCCTCTTGGAGGCATCTAGGACCGTTTTGGCGGCCTCTGGGGCCGTCTTGGGGTCATCGTCGGCGTCTTTGAGCGATCGTTTGGGGACTTGAGGCCATCTTGAACCGTCTTGAGGGCGTCTTGGGGCTCTGCTGGCCTGTCTGGCCCCCTCTAGGGCCTAAAAGAGTCACGTGACAAGACGCGGCAAGCCCCAGGGGAACCTCGGCAAGCCCCTAAAGATCTGACTGCTGGTCTGCAGCGGTGCTTAGCGCACGCTGTTCTGATGGCGGGGGCTGGGGGGCAAGGTGGAGCCCTCGGCAATTTAGATGCCGACTCTCTGCCGGCCCTTCCCACTCCTGACGGCCGCTGTCCCCTCCATCGCGGGCTGTCCTGACACGATAGGCGGCCCTGCTCCCTCCCACTGCCTCCTTCCCCCCTCCCCTCCCTCGCCTCATCCATCCCCCCCTCCTCCCTCCCTCCCTCCGTCATTCAATCCGACCACCCTCCATCACGTTGTTCCCCCTCACTCCTTCCATAACCGCTCTATGTGAGTGATACTCTCCTCTCTCCCCCGAGGATGGCCAGGGAGTCGCCCGCCCCACTCCGCTTTCTTTTCCATAACAGGGAGATCGAAAATTGGGTGCTACGGTTGCACACAGGAACTCACTGCTTGGTCCTTCCACTATATGTTGTTCAATCGGAGCGTTTTCGGTGTCTCAAAACGGCGCCGCCGCTGCAGCGCTGACCTCATTTTAGGACCAGCGCCTTGCTCACGTCGTTCACAGTGGCACTCTCGCCCCAGCGCGGGCCACTTTTCTGGATCCAAGACCTTCCTCATCGTTGTCGCCCACCTCCTTTGCCCTCTTCCGCCTTCCCCTGGTCCTCCTGCTCTTCCCGCTCCTTCCACTCCAATTCCCGCTGGTGCTGCTCGTCCTCATCTTCCTCATTCCTCATCCTCCTTTCCCTCCTGCTCATCCTCCTGCTCATCCGCCACCTCCTCCTCCCTCTCCCCCTCCTCCTATGTATACATAGCTCCCACCTTCCGTTTGCGAATACGTAACACGATGGGGTCTCTCCGTGAGTTCCAGGTCCGCTCTGACACGCAACAGCGGATAGAGACAAATCAGCGCAATGGGAAGGTGTGGGTGGGAAGGGAAGAATGTCAGATGTGACGCGAGCGCACCTAGCTAGCCTCCTCCACCCTCTCCTTCACCCCTCCGCCCTCCTCTCTTACCCCTGCCCTCCTCACCCCTCACCTCCTCCCCCCTCTCCTGCCCCCCTTCGCCCCTCCTCCTCTCCACAATTAAGCAACATGATTACTACTCTCCTCTCTCCCCTGGTGGCGTCCGGGAAATGGCTGGTCCGCCTCCGCGTACTGGCTTTCTACACGCAGGATTCACGGGAAACGTGTGTTCGCTTGGTTTCTTCAAAATGCTGCTCTCGCTGAAGCGCTGGTCTATTTTCGGGCTACCGCTCGTTCCGAATCTTGCTCCCGCTGCAGCGCTGGCCTCATTTCCGCGCTTCCGCTCGTTCCGAATCTTGCTCCCGCTGCAGCGTTGGCGTCATTATTTCCAGCGCCATGCCACGGCATGGTTTTCGGTCCTTCCAGATAAACCAAAACATCTAAAATGTGCCCCCCCACCCCCACCCCCCGAAAAAAACATCGGAAGCGATTACATATTCGGTGTCGGTGATTTAAATTCTTGCGCCGTAGAAGCCCCCCCACACTATGGGGCGTCGCCACGCCATACGATGTCAGGCTACACGTCCTCATTTCCGCGCTTCCGCGCTTGGGTTTCTTCAAAATGCTGCTCTCGCTGAAGCGCTGGCCTCATTTTCGGGCTACCGCTCGTTCCGAATCGTGCTCCCGCTGCGGCGCTGGCCTCATTATTTCCAGCGCCATGCCACGGCAT